CCCAGGTTGTGACCCGGCCCCACAGCAGCCTCCTTTCCCCAGCAGCCCCTGTGACAGCAGCTCCTTCTGGCTGCTGCCACCAACCCAGCCCCTCTGCCTGGGCACCCCGACCTGGGCAGAGTATGGACCCTGGACTTCAGAAAAGCAGACTTCTACTCGCACAGGGAACTGATGGGCAGGATCCTCTGGGAGACCAGTCTGAAGGGGAGAGGAGTCCAAGACAGCTGGCTGTACTTTAAAGAAATCTTAACAAGGGTGCAGGAACAAACCGTCCTGATGTGCAGGAAGACTAGCGAGTATGCCAGAAGACCGGCTTGGCTTAGCAGAGAACTCTTCAGTGAGCCAAACCATACTAGAAGTGAAGCTAAAGCTTACTAGAAGTGGAAACTTAGACAAACAACTAGGGAGGTATATAAGAGTATTGTTTGGGCATGCAGGCATGAAGTCAGGAAGACCAAAGTGCAGTTGAAGTTGAAGCCAGCAAGGGACTTGAAAGATAACAAGAAGGGTTTCTACAGGTATGTCAGCAACAAGAGGAGGATCAGGGAAAGTATGAGTTCTTTACTAAATGAGGAAGGCAGTATAGTGACAAAAGACACAGAAAAGGTTGAAGTATTCAGTGCCCTTTTCACCTCAGTCTTCATAGGCAAGGCCAACTCCCAGACTACTGCACCTGGCAGCACAGTTTGGGGAGAAGGTGAGCAGCCACCAGTGGCAAAAGAACAGTTTAGGGACTATTTAGAAAAGCTGGATATGTACAAGTCAGTGGGTCTAGACGGGTTACACTTGAGGTTGCTGGGGAAGTTGGCCAGTGTGATTGCAGAGCTGCTAGCTATTGTCTCTGAAAACTCATGGTGGTGGGGAGAGGTCCTGGATGATTGGAAATGGGCAAATATAGTGCCCATCATTAAGAAAGGGAAGGAGGAGGGTCTGGGAAACTACAAACCAGTCAGCCTCACCTCGGTCCCTGGAAAAATCATGGAACAGGTCCTCAAGGAATACATTTCTAATCACTGGGAGAAGATGGTGATTAGGAACAGTTGGCATGGATTCACCAAGGTCAAGTCATGCCTGACCAACATGCTTGCCTTCTATGATGTGATAACTGACTCTGTGTATGCGGGGAGACCAGTGGACATGATATACCTTGACTAGCAAGGCTTTTGAAACCGTCTCCCACAACATTCCTGCAAGCAAGCTAAGGAAGTATAGGTTGAAAGAATGGACTGTAAGGTGGATAGAAAACTGGCTGGATTGTTGAGCTTAACAGGTAGTAATCAATGGCTCAGTGTCTAGCTGGCAGCCAGTATCAAATAGAGTGCCTCAGGGGTTGATCCTTGGGCTGTTTTTGTTCAATATCTTCATTAACGATCTGGCAGATGGGATGGATTGCACCCTCAGCAAGTTTGCAAATGATACCAATCTGGGGGTTGTAGTAAACATGCTGGAGGGTAGGGCTAGGATTCAGAGAGACTTAGAGAAATTGGAGGGTTCAATCAAAAAAAAAAATCTCATGAGGTTCAGTAAGGACAACTGAAAAGTCCTGCAGTTAGGACAGAACAATACTGTGCATTGCTACAGGGTGGGGACCAACTGGCTAAGCAGCATCTCTTTAGAAAAGGACTTGTAGGTTACAGTGGACAATAAGATCAAAATGAGCCAACAGTGAAGAATGCTTATGGAATGCAGGACTGCATTAGTAGGAGCGTGGCCAGCAGATCAAGGGAGGTGATTTATTTTCCTCCGTTGTGCATTGGTGAAGCCACATCTGGAGTACTGTGTCTAGTTTTGGGCCCCCCACTACATAAAGCAGGTTGTGGCACATGACTTCTTAGGAGAGGCTGAGGGAATTGGACTTACTTATTTTGACGAAGAGAAGACTGAGGGGAGATTTAATAGCAATCTTCACCTATCTGAAGGGGCATTCCAAAGAGGATAGAGCTGGACGGTTCTCAGTGGTGGCAGATGACAGAACAAGGAACAATGGTCTCAAATTGCAGCAAGGGAAGTTTATGTTAGATATTAGGAAAAGCTTTCTCACCAGAAGGGTAGCAAAACAGTGGAATAGGTTACCCAGGGAGGTTATGGACTCTCCATCCTTGGAGGTTTTTAAGACCCAGCTAGACAAAGCCTTGGCTGGGATGATCTAGTTGGGGATGGTCCTGCTTTGAGCAGGGGGTTGGACTAGATGACCTCCTGAGGTCCCATTCAACCCTAATTTTCTGTGATTCTGTGGTTCTACTTTATTCAGTTTTTGGGCCCCATGTCAAGAAGCATGATTGGAAAGGGTCCAGAGCACAGCAAGAAAAATGCTTATGGGTCTGGGAGGCAGGACTTATGAGGAAAGTCTAAAATTACTGAGGTTGTTTAGTCTAGAGAGGAGAAGACAGAGATTTGGTAAGTCTCCAAATACTTGAAGAAGAAGAAGAGAGTGGATGTAGATGTGTTTTTTCTCTATGGCTGTAGGGGACAGTATTAGGAACAATGGCCTCAAGCTACAGCAAAGGAAATTTTGGATTTGAGTAGGAGGAACTTTTGGAGTCTGAGGGTGGTCAGCCACTGAAATGGGCTACCTGTTGTGGAATCTCTGTCCTTGGAAATTTTGAAGAGCATGTTAGACAGACATGTGGCTGCTATGGTTTAGTCGAGGACAATCCTGCTTTAAGGGAACTGGGAGTAGACTAGATGACCTTGAGGGTCCCTTTCAGCCCTACTTTCTTATGATTGCTAGTTGGACTCTCCTGTCTTTGCTCAAATTAATACCAGCTGGGTCATTATGAGTAGTCCCATCAGCTTTTTTAGTCCAATGATTAATTCGGTATATTCAAGTACAAAATAAAATTACCTTACATTCTGTGTATATTTTTCTGTTAGGAAATCACAATTTTGAAAACCTGTGTTTTTTATAGTACTGGATGCATGAGCCCTTCAGCATATCACCTGGAATAAGTCCTTCACAAATACTTTTTCTTGTCATGCATTATAGACAGGTATTTTTGCAGTAACACCTGTTTTCTGGCTTGATTCAGTGGTCTGTAAGAGATTCCTAACAATATCCACTGGTGGGCTTTATTCATTTTTATGTTGGTCTATGCTCTATTTCTGTTAGACTATTTTTTTTAATATTACTTGTAACCTTGCAGCCATAAAAAATGACTATGAAATGAAAAATCTTACGCAATGGCAAATGCGAGTGGTTTTCCCTTCTTGATTTTTTTTTACAAACTTAATTTGTACAATAATAGGTAGATGAAACTCAAGAAAACAAGAATAAGATGGAAACTGTTAAAGGAGATATGCAAAAACAGAAGGTGATAATGGAGGAACTGAAGAATAATCTACAAGCAGCTGAACATAAACTTGAAGAAATTAAAGACAAAATTCATCAAGTAGAAGAAGTAGCTGGTCCTGTGAAGGTAAAACTGATTTTTAAAAATGCGGTTTTGCTATAATATTTGTCTTATCTATGCAAAAGCATTTCAACAGCCTCATTTAGAGGTTGCCAAAACAAAGGTAAAGATGTCCAGAACATTTAACAAATGCACAGGGTAGTGGTTCTCAGCCAGGACGCCATGGTTACAGTAGACCTGTGAAACTATCCCATGCACCTCTGTTTCCAAGAGGCATGTGAGAGGCAAACCTTGAAGCAGCTGCAGCAGGAACAGGCTCTACTACCTTAGGTTTATCTGTATTAAATTCGTTGACTGCAGCCAGCTGTAGCCAGTCAGCACCAGCAGAAGACTTGGCCATGTTCCATTGATAGAAGCTTTATTTGATAAACCTAATGTAGTCAGGAGTGCAGCAGGGAGCTCTATGGACAATAACACCAGAAGCAGCCAGTGCAGACAGTGAGCAGCCAGGGATGGGCAGGTCTA